CTTATACTTTCTTATTATCAAAACTGTTAAACACACATTCAACAAATATAATTCTATCTTCAGTACAACTTCCCTCTCACAGAACATTACAACAATGGTGAATTTCTTTCACACATTATTATTTTCAACAAAATCTATAACTAAAAATTTTATTAAAAATTTCATCATTGTACTTTACCCTAATGACCTGATACAACAGATCACACACACAACTACTAATCCTCCCCCAAAAGTAGATTTTACATTTCACACACAATTTATTCTCATTTAAGTTCTAAATTCACTCCCTCATTTTTCATATTTCTATCATCATAAACCCCAATAAATATTTGTTTTAATTTTTGAGTTGAATGCCAATTTATTTTCCAATTCTTCAACAAAATTTTCTTCCTATAATGCATTCTTAACTTCATATCTTTGAATGCTAACAACTCCTGTACATATGACTGGCAAAAATAATTTAGAGACACCTTTTCATCATTGTTGTTATAAATCGTTCTAGCTTGTTGAATGGGTAAATAGTGCCACAGGACCAAATGTGTCAGTTGAGCATTCGCATCACTGTCTCTCGCAACACTAGATGCCAGCTGGTCCAAAGTGAAGATGGGCACAGGTGGAGGGGTGCGCCTGTCTCTCGTCTGCAAGAGCTTCATATTAATAAGAAGAGTAATAAAAATAAATACTTCTATAATATACATTACAATAATCAGTATAAACCCTGATAATTACCGGTATTGGTAAAACATTAAAAAATATTTTCCATAAATTTGATTAAGATTTCCTGACATTTTCGCCCCCAGGCCCCGATGTGGGTCAGTGACCTGTGCCCGGGTGGGCTAATCCCTGTAAAAAATAATAATAATAAAATGGATAAAAACTTGGGAAAAAAATAAATAACAAAATGGGGGTAATCAGCCTCAGGTACGTAGTCATCTGAGGTCCTCATCAATGACATAGGTGAAGGTTTCTGAGCACAGTAAAACTCCACACAGTGCAGTAGCTGCATTCTCAGAAAATGCCAGGTCATGCAAAATAGCAACTTCTAAAGAATTAATGTATTCTCTGGGTTACAGATTGTTCATAAAACTTGTTAAAAGTAACCTTTTGACAAGTGTTTAAGTATAGATATTCCTCACTATATGCAGTCTGTATACTGAATAGACTTTTGTATAGAAGAAATTTTTAAGTAAGTGAACACTTTTCACTATGTGCTACATATATTCATTAATACATAATTTCTCCTGTCATGCAAATTTTAATCTGGTGTACCCAAACAATTTTGGACCACACCACTCTACTACAACCTATGCAGTTGCAATACATTTATCCATCAAGTTAAATGAGACTAGTGAGGTGGATATGCAATGTGGCACTGAAAGACAAAAAATCCTTTTCAGAGGTAAGAGGGTGGCTGGTATTGAGTTCTATTGGCAAAATTCTGTGTAGCAGTATGCTGAGATGGTTTGGAATTTTGGAGAATGAATCACACTAATTAGGTCAAGAGGTGTATGAGTCTAAATGTGGGGGGAGAAGAGCCAAGAATGACATGGGGAGAGGTTGTAAGAAATGACATTAAGAGTTAAGAACCTGACAAGAATGGAAAGTTGCCATCAGATAATCACGGCTAATCCACACAAGCGTGGAAAATGGTTATAAAACACTTTGCCCAACCCGGTCTTCAAACAATTGTCTTTCCCTCATAAAAAAACACCACACTCCTCCACCAGTCTTACCACAACTGCCACACAATAAATTTACTGTTATTTTTACATTAATTTACACCTAATTTAGAGATATAGAAAAGAAAGGTATCGACAGCAGTGACAATAACAATGACGACTGACCATCAGAACTCCCCAATGCTAATGGTAGAGATAACAATGAGGGGCATGAGCAATGAGGAGTTTGGAGGCTTATCAACAACATGCTTTTACACCAGATTTGAGGCTATAATTGAGTCTCTTTCTGAAATTGTTGGAACAAAGCCAGCAATAAGAAATTACTCTATTTAGCTATGAAATATTATGCTTTAATAATTGCTGTATCACCTTAATATAAATGACACAAAATTATTGTAAGGATTAAGGCGCAAAATCTATTTATACTTTGCATAATTTGAACACTGAAGTGAAGGAGTTAATAATACAATTAAGTACTACAAGCACCCATTCACAATTCCATCAACATAATACTTTATTACATCACAACTACAAATGGCAAGTACAATTCAACATACCAAACATCTGACAGCGGTAAATCTTCATCCTCCATTGAATCCACTTCCTGTAATAACAAGAGAATATTAGAAGCATACTCAACTCAACACTTAATGTTGTCTGGATGTTATTTATGGAAATTTTTGAGCTAGAAAGCTTAAATTTGGACACATTACTGACCAAGTGCTTTGACAATACATTTTTCACTTCATATTAATATACACTCCCTCCCAGTGCCTCTTCAGGTGATGCAGGAAGAATGGGCTGTACAATGAACATACTGTACATCACTACTTGCTTTGCTATTGTTTTTTGTTGAACACATTTTCTTATATTTTTAATTTTATATTTTGCAATATTGATGGAAGTGTAAAATATTTAATTTTTGGTGAACATAACACACATTGAACTGCATGTATGAACTAGCCAATTTGTAAAGTATTGATTGATAAACGATAAAGGTTTTACTGTATTAACCCCTTCATTGTCTCTTAAATATTTCATTTGGCTAATGCCAGATGATTCTATTCAGCACAAGAGGAAGTGAAGGGGATAAGGGGGAAAGAGAAGGCAAAGTTATGAAATAAAATGGTGGTCTGGAGGCCTTGGAAATAAAAGGAATAACCAATGCCTTTTGTAATCAGTAAATATTCTACAGTATGTATAGCATGACTCAAGTCTAGTTAACACAGAAAAAAGAGCAACACAATTACCCTAAAAGAAATTTATTTCCATATCACATACAAAAAATATCAAAAAAATAATCTAATATGAATTGCAATAAATAACTTACCTGGTAAATACTCTCATCGTGGTTTCTTTGGGCACATTGGTGTCTCCAGGGGCTCCAAAATATAAATCCCAGCAAATATAGTGAAAACATACTGGTCTTTAAGTATGTACTGAAAAAAGGTTTATTGAAGCCGGTATCATTGAAGATATACTGAAAATAAAATTTGAAAAATATAAAAAAGTCTATTATTTTTCATCCCTTATACCATATATTTATTTTCTCTTAATGTTACATACAGCGTATACTAAAAAGAAAGTGTTTCAGGCTCAAGAGAAACAGATACCCTCCCATTATTTGCTGCTGATCATTCATTAATTACTTGTGCATAAGATGTGTTCTCCTACAGTACTTCCCTTCCACAACACAATCTAAAGATTTCCATCTGCTTTACCCACATTACTTTAGTAAACCTAATACCACCCCTCAGTGGCAGGTCCATCCCCATAAACTACTCAACACCACGATCTCTGCTTCTTCCCTGTTGTCTATTCCCGTTTTATCCATTAAATACACCAGCCCAGTCTTTCATCTCCTTTTTGGTCTTCCACTTTCTCTCCTACCATTTACTTCTTTTTTTTTAATCCTTGTTCCCCCGTCTTCTCAACCTGTCCACACCATCTCAAGAAACCTGGTTAGTCTCCTTTTATTTGCACATCTTATTTCTAAATTTAGTATTCCTTGTATCCTTTTTTCCAGACATTCTGCTCTCAAAGTCACTGTGGTTAGTAAAATTCTAATGGTCAGAATGTGGTAGGGAACAGACTTCATTCTCTCTCTTAATCTTTTCAACAGGTTCCTCCATGACCTCTTCCACCCCTACTCAATCTCTCCGTTACTTCCAGTCTCTCTTCAACAAACATTTAGAAAACAGTTGTGCGGTTTTTCATATTCAAGGCTGTTGAGATGTATGGTACTCAGTGTCTTCAATATAGATACTGTAATGCAAGCATGAGCTTTTCAGGCAACTCTGAATGTAGAAATGAACTGATACAGCAAGTAAACTCTGTAACTTACTATATTTTTCTCATGTTATATCACAGACAAAAACTGAACATGACGTAAGAAAATAATACCTCCGACAATTCTGATGAAGCCACCCAAATGACGTCGACCACCAGCAGGACAAAGATGCCAAGGGCCAGACGCCTCCCTCGACCCATCATAGACCATCACTGTTAATCATGTTAGTTGTTAGACAGTGCAGTAATAAACACTAAAGGCACATAGGTTACAGTACATGGCCATGTCCATTAAAAAAATAATAAATAAATAAATAAATAGATAGATACTGTACAGTACTGTAAAACGACCAAATATCTATTAATATCCACCATTGAACTACCGTACATCTCAAATCCGGTCTGATTGGTTCCTGAGCAGTGCCAGATTAGTGATTTTGCCAAACCACAGGTGATTAGGTTAGGATTAAATAAATAAACACCTCTAACCCACTTCATAACTACCTCACCCTACCTTTAAAATACTCTGTAAATAGTACAAGTTGGGTAATGAAAAGAAACAACAAATGAAAAGCAAGTGAAATTTATTGAAGTATGTATACTGTATATACAGGCAAAATACCTTACTAGGTGTTACTGCCACAGTAAGATGAGAGAGAGAGAGAGAGAGAGAGAGAGAGAGAGAACACCTTTCGTTCAACTAACATATACAGTGATCCCTCGGTTAACGAATTACCTTCCATAAGATTCTTCACTTCGGCTAACGAGCAAACCCCCAGTCAACGAATTCCTTATGAATTTTCCCAACATGTTTTCGCCTGCATTTGGCTGCCCACCAGCTGTAGTATTAGTCCGCCAATACAGTAATCGGTTCTAGGGCTTAAATTCCTTACCATTTTAGTAAATATCAAGAAGGTTGTACTATTCAATAATTTTAAAAGTTTTATATTAAAATTTTTAGTAATTTTAACAATTATTGAATATAATTGAAGTACAGGAAACTAATTTTTTGCACGCCAAACAGCCACTCAACACACAGAGCTTGGCGTCAGTTTGTTTACCAGTTCAGAGGAAGGAACATCTTGTTTGAGACTCTCTTCAACATAAAGGCTTTTTTTCTGCGTTTCCAGTCAAATTATTGGTCATTTTGAAATAGATTTTACATATTGATAATATATCGTGCAGTGCAGTGTTGATTTAAAGAAAATAATCTTGAATTATACCAAGTGAACTAAAATTTTATGGGTGAAATGGCAGCATGGGGTGGCTTCTCTTCCACCCCAATGCCTTCTCTTCTCCCTTCTCCTCCACCCCCATTCTAATTCCCATCATCATCAACCAGGAGCCTTCTACATGCACACCTCAAAGTAAGTGTACTTTACTGCATTTATTTTTAGTTTGCATGTAATTTTCGGTGAGCTGGAACCAATTACACAAAAACCCATTGAAACAATGGTTTCAGATAACGAGCAACCTTCTGGAATGAATTGTGCTCGTTAACCGAGGGACCACTGTACAACATATACCTTTACCAAGAGGATATTACACCAGCTCTCGTTGGTCAAATCATAGACCCTAAAACGTGAGTGTGAACTATTAAATCCTCTAAAAAACTCTAAATAACCTTAATAAGTATATTTACGTACTGTATTTTGATAATATAATACAAATTGTCTCCTGATGTATCAACAGTTGTAACATGTGAGTTATATTTAACAGGCTATGTACTGTACATTGATTGTATTATTCATACTGTGTCCTGAGATAACAGCATTTGTTATATGTGAATTGTTCTTTAACAGGTTTTGAACGAATTATATGGTACGTGTCATCATTGAGGGTCTTATTCTCCAACCCAAATCAATAACGCTCCTATGAGCGTTAACACAAGGTATCTGTATTTACTTACATCAGAAGGTTGGTTATTGCCACTTCCAAAGTAAAGAGTTGGATTGTACAACTAAGCAGAGTTACATGCCTGAAAGCAGGGGGTCATCAAGACTGTCTTGTGTTTCATCTAAAAAGTGTTGACTCCTGTCTTACAGATTTCTCTGCTATTTTTCTGAACATATCCTGCAAGCTAACCTGTTTCATGTATTTTGGTCTTTCTTTGATTAGTTTTTCTTGTAACATGTAAACATTCATTATTTCCTGTTCAGTAACAAAAGTGCGTTGTTCGAGACCTTTTATCAATTCACCTGTCAGCTCAACTAACTTATCAATGGACACTCTTTCAGCTACCTCTTCCTAGTTTTCATCACAACCAACAGAGTGCCGACTCCAACGGTCACTCTCCTCCCCACGCACCACCAAGCAGTTCCCGCCTCATATAGATCCTTCGGGAACGATCAGGACTCCACGACACGAGTTGTGGAGAATCCTATAAGGATTCCCTGGGCCCGCATTTTTGAGCTACCGAACAGGGAGGTACTACCGCCTGGGAAGATATTGGAAGCATAATGTGTTGTCTAATGGTAGACCCTGCTGCCATATGTCATCACGAAAATTGTGACCAAGTCCAAGGTTGCTGATCTGACTTTCTGTGTTGTGTGAGAGTGAATGAGTGAGGATGGATGAGTTTCTAGGTGGATAGGTGCTGAGTGAGGATGGATGAGTTCGGATGGGCGAGGATGGGGGAGGGGGATGGGGGGGGATTCCACGCCCTTCCCAGTGGGTGGGTCCTGATACCTTCCGTCGGCGCCTGACGGATGGTACCATTCACCACCTCCAAGGATGGGCGAGGATGGGGGAGGGGGATGGGGGGGGGATTCCACGCCCTTCCCAGTCGGTGGGTCATGATACCTTCCGTCGGCGCCTGAGGGAGCAATGCATCAAGAGTTTCACCACTCTTCATAATATGGTTCAGCATATTTGGATAAAACGTATCAGGGAGGGAAAGCCAATCAACGAACGAGATGATTAGAAGGAAGGTTTTTATTGGTTAAAAAAAATTATTTTCTTCGACCTCTCGCAGTACAACATGGATGCTTATCTATATGTTAATGCGTCGAGAAATTAAAAAATGGAATGATTTATCTTACTTATATATGTGTGCGTGTATAGACATAACGCACGCACGCACACAAAGCAATTACATATACAGACACGCACTCACGCAAGCACAGAGACAATCACGGACACAGACGAACACAAACAAGTGGTGATGTAAAAAAATAAACGAAAAGAGAGAACCAGATAAGAGAGACAGAGACGTATAGACAGACAGACGATGACAGGAAGGGGAGACAGAAAGACCAAGAATAAAAACAGGAAACCCAAAGACAGTGAACAAATGAGAGAGAGAGAGAGAGAGAGAGAGAGATGAATAAATAGATAGACAAAGACAGACAGAGAAATATATTGAGAGAGAGAGATGAATAAATAGATGAACAAAGACAGACAGAAAATATATTGAGAGAGAGAGAGAGAGAGAGGAATAAATAGAGACAAAGACAGAGAAAATATATTGAGAGAGATGAATAAATATAGACAAAGACAGAGAAATATATTGAGAGAGAGAGAGAGAGATGAATAAATAGATAGACAAAGACAGAGAAATATATTGAGAGAGATGAATAAATAGATAGACAAAGACAGACAGAGAAATATATTGAGAGAGAGAGAGAGAGAGAGAGAGAGAAGAGAGAGAGAGAGAGAGAGAGAGAGAGAAAGCTAACGAAGAACGGCAGTAATTACCCAGATATCAATCGACTGTTCTCAAGACGTGTGTGTGTGTGTGTGTGTGCCCGAGGTTATACACAGCCTGCAGGGAACAATAGTTAAGGGTGAAGGCGCTAATAACTGCCTTAAACACTCTTGTCATTACGGGTCTTATCTCTGAGGAGGAAGTTAAGAAACGAGGCAAAGATGAAGAAGACTGCCAAGAGATTAAGACGATGATAAAGATGATGTGGAAGGAGATAAAGAGAGAGATGAGTAAACAGGATAATAGTGGATTGATATATTGAGTTCTTGTTCTTGTTCTTCTTCTTCTTCTTGTTCTTGTTCTTCTTCTTCTTCTGTTGTTTATTGTTGGTATTGTTGTTTTATTGTTGTTGTTGTTTTTGAATAGTTGAAGCCAAAAACGATAAGTAATTAACTTGATTAATTTGGATGTAACTATGAAATTGTCTTAATTGATATTTAAGTACGCTTATTTACGTCTCCTGTCATTGATATAAGAGATTTTAAATAATCACACTTAAGAAAGCCACTTAATCACACTTAAAGGCTTCATCAGTCCAAGTCGAGTTGTTTAGTAGTAATCGCACTTGGAATAATTAATCTTTTCATTCCAAGTGTCTTAAGTAATCGCACTTTAGGACATTATCCACAAAATCCACAGATCTTAAGTAATTGCACTTAACACTACATGTGGTCCAAGTGTTAAGTAATTGCACTTACGATCTCGACACTTTTAAATAATCCTCACTTAAGGGATAATTACACTTGAAAATCATTCTACTTAAGGTTTTAAGTCGTTAGGGATAAGGCACTCAAGTCATCATACTCAACACCTTAGTCATCGTTCTCAGTGTCTTAAGTCATCATACTCAACACCTTAGTCATCGTTCTCAGTGTCTTAAGTCATCATACTCAACACCTTAGTCATCGTTCTCAGTGTCTTAAGTCATTATACTCAACACCTCAGTCATCGTCCTCACTGTCTTAAGTCATCATACTCAACACCTTAGTCATCGTTCTCAGTGTCTTAAGTCATCATACTCAACACCTTAGTCATCGTTCTCAGTGTCTTAAGTCATTATACTCAACACCTCAGTCATCGTCCTCACTGTCTTAAGTCATCATACGCAACACCTCAGTCATCGTTCTCAGTGTCTTAAGTCATCATACCCAACACCTTAGTCATCGTTCTCAGTGTCTTAAGTCATCATACCCAACACCTTAGTCATCGTTCTCAGTGTCTTAAGTCATCATACCAACACCTTAGTCATCGTTCTCAGTGTCTTAAGTCATCATACCCAACACCTTAGTCATCGTTCTCAGTGTCTTAAGTCATCATACCCAACACCTTAGTCATCGTTCTCAGTGTCTTAAGTCATCATACCCAACACCTTAGTCATCGTTCTCAGTGTCTTAAGTCATCATACCCAACACCTTAGTCATCGTTCTCAGTGTCTTAAGTCATCATACCCAACACCTTAGTCATCGTTCTCAGTGTCTTAAGTCATCATACCCAACACCTTAGTCATCGTTCTCAGTGTCTTAAGTCATCATACCCAACACCTTAGTCATCGTTCTCAGTGTCTTAAGTCATCATACCCAACACCTTAGTCATCGTTCTCAGTGTC